GAATGAACTCAGCATCCAGCGGGACAAAGCCCCAAGCAGCAGCAGAACACCACGAACCACCCAACATTCAAGCAAGCCAAGCTTTGCTTCCATTCACACTGATTAAAAACAAAAAAAACAAACCACCAAACTCAGCAAGAAGAAGAGTGCTGAGAAGGGAACTGACATTTACAGCCGATGAGATCTGCTTGGCTAAGCTGCAACAAAAGAAAATCCCGCGGGCGAAGCCCACACGCCTGGCACGGCGCGGCCCCGGCGCCCGCAGGATGCTGCCCAAAAATCTCCTGCCATCCCCCATCCTGCCTTCCCAAAGCAACCCCCTGTCATCCCCCACCCTTCCTTCCCAAAACAACCCCCTGCCATCCCCCATCCTGCCCTCCCCCCTGCCAGCCCCCATCCTCCCCCAGCAAACCATCTCCCCGGCCAACAAATGGAAGCTCTCGTTTATAAACGAGGGCAGAGCATTGAAAATCCAGAGCGAGCAGCTACAGAGAGTAAATAAAATCCTCAGGCTGCCTGAAAGAGGCTTTGTCCTCCCAGCACGGAGTCAGAAGGGCCCTTGCTCTGCCCCCACAGCAATGTTTGCATCCCACCAGCCAGGGCCCTTGCTGCCGGCACAAAACGCAGAGCGCACAACGAGCACGGTCCCTGCGAAGGACGTGCTGCAAGAAAGGGTCTGAAAAACAACACAGCAAATAGACAACACAGCAAAAAATCTGATTTTCCCTTTTCCCAAACTCACAGCTGTGCAGGAACACAGGGAGCATCAGGAGCCTAAACCCAAGGGTTGGTTTGTCTGCTAAGACAGACAAAAGATATCCGAGATCCCAAAAAGCCTGAATTACACCCAAACACTTTGCATTTCAGTCTTCGTTCATTAAATCACAGGGTGAATCTGACACTCACTATCAACCCCGGTGGATCTGAGCCTCTTCTCCCATGCAGCAAAGCAAAAGCCTTATGCTCCCAACTGGTAAAAACCTTGGCAGACAAAACCAGACCAGCCAAACTAGAACTGAAGCAGCGTTTCAAGTGAAAAAGCCAGGCAGAAAAATCCCTGCCTGAGCACCTCTGACATCAGCACCACCTGAAGCCAGCATCTCCTCAGTATCCCAGGACCTGAAAAAAGCACCTTTAAAAATCCCAAAGATTACAAAGAGCACTTGCAAAGGGCCCCAAGGGCTCCTTCCAGCCCGGGGGGTGCCTGCTGGGGATTCACCACATGTCAGAACTCAGCGGTCACAGCCCGCACCCATCACCTGGGACAAGGAGAGCAACACCCACCCACCTGCAGCTCCAAACCCTGCGGGGCTCACACAGGACAAACCCACCGCAACACACCGAGGAGTGACACTGCAGGGCAAGGGCTCTGCTCGCCCACCTCCGACACGCACCTGAGCATCTCCACCCGCCAAACTTCCAACCCATCCGCCGAAACCGGTCTGCCGGTGCCTGGGCGAGGACGGGGCGCTGCACCCACGGCCCGGGGTGCGACACCCACGAAAACACCCACGAAAACACCCACGGAACCACCCAGCCAGCCCCGGCAGCAGGGCGGCGGGCCCCGCTCACCCAGAAGGTGGTGGAGTAGGTGATGAGGCTGAGCTTGAGGCACAGGTACGAGAGCCGCCCGCAGTAGCGCGCCTGCTCCGGGTCGCCCGCCGCCATCCTCCCGCGGCACCTGCCGCCCTCCGCCCCTTCCCGGCCCGGGGCCGCCCCGCCGGGCGGGCCCGCCCGCGCTTCCGGCCCGGGAGCGGCCCCGGGAGCGGCACGCACCGACCGCGAAACGCGGGAGCGCCTGGAGAGCCGCGGCTTTCCTCTTTCTCTTCTTTCCTCCTCCTCGCCTTTTTTTTCTTTTTTTTTTCTTTTTTTTTTTTTCTTTTTTTTTTTTTTTTTTCAATTCCCTCGCCTGGAGAGCCGCGGCTTTCCTCTTTCTCTTCTTTCCTCCTCCTCGCCTTTTTTTTCTTTTTTTTTCTTTTTTTTTTTTCTTTTTTTTTGTTTTTTTCTTTTCAATTCCCTCGGCAAACAGATCTCGGTTATCTTTTGTCTGTCTCAGCAGACAAACCGACCCTTGGGTTTAGGCTCCTGATGCTCGCCGTGTCTCCGCACAGCTATTCTGCTGCAGCTGCGGGTTTGGGAAAAGGGAAGATCAGATTTGCTGTGTTGTTGATTTGCTGTGTTGTCTATTTGCTGTGTTGTTTTTCAGACCCTTTCTTGCAGCGTGTCCCTCTCAGAGGACCGCGCTCGTTGTGCGCTCTGCGTTTTGTGCCGGCAGCAAGGGCCCTGGCTGGTGGGATGCAAACATTGCTGTGGGGGCAGAGCAAGGGCCCTTCTGACTCCGTGCTGGGAGGACAAAGCCTCTTTCAGGCAGCCTGAGGATTTTATTTACTCTCTGTAGCTGCTCGCTCTGGATTTTCAGTGCTCGGCCGCTCGGTCGGGAGCAGCCCCGCAGGGGAAATAGACCTGGCTGCTCCATCGGGAATCAGGCAGATCCCAGACACTGGCTGCTCCAAATCCCAGACACCTCTGCCATAGCCACTGAAACAGCCGGGACAGAAATGCGGCCGTGGGAAGGCGCTGCGAGGCTGCCTAAGGGTCCACTGTAATTGTGTTCTCTCCCCCTGAGCCCAGTGCAGCACAGGGCTGCAGTTTTCCAGCAAAGAGCCTGGCAGATTGTTCATTACAGCATCTGCTCCTGGCACCATCCAGCAGCACAACTAGCAGTGGTTTTGTTCATATTAAGGATCAGTAACTTCCACATTTCCTCACTCATTGCCAGGGGTTGTCCTGAAGACACCAAGAGTCATGGACTGCAGAGCATTTGCCCCAGGGCTTTAGGAGCTCTGCAGAAAGAATTGAACTACGGCTAGCCCTGCACCAAACCATGCCAGAAAGACCCAAAGCTTTTCAGCGCTACCAGAGGCAATTTTGCTGCTTCCTTCCAGCCCAGGTCTGGCTGAGGAAGCTGCAGGGCAGCTGCACTTTGCCCCACCCAGGGGGATGCTCGTGGTCCTCATGTCCTGCTCTCAGAGCTGCTCCCTGGACAAAGGTTCTTCCTCCAAAAGCAGAGTCCAACTTGCAACACAATTAAAGCCTCTACTGCCTGTATCACCTTGTATTATGTTTCCAAAGCACAAAACACCCCTCAATCACCCTTCCTGACCTTGCAGACCCACAGCTTTTGTTTGCATCTCACCCTTTGCTCAGACCTGAGATTGGTGATTCAGCACAGTAACGTTTGGCCTTGAGAGTCCTGCCCATAATAAAAACAACAGTGAAACCAGCCAAACCCAAACCCCCTGCTCTCAGGTAGTCCCTTTCTCTGGTGTAACTCCAAAACCACTGGTGAGGCAGGTTTTACCCACTGTCTCAGGCAAATGTGACTTCCCTGAGGAATCTGGAGCCAGACTGTGTCAAAGCTTGCTCCAGTTTTCAGGTCAAAAGGCTGATAGCACACACTAAATCTGGCCAGGCTCCAGGATGATAACCTTGTCAATGCACAACCAGAAAGGAATAAAAGGAGTGGGTGTGGATACAGGAAGGCAAGTCCCTCCTGACTCGTACGATGAAATATTGACCAAAGGCTGCTCTTCCATTATCACCTGAGTAACAGATCAGGGACTGGGGCAGATGGTTCACAAGGAGGTTCCTAAGAAACCTGAGCACCCTGAATGTCTTCAAAGTCAGCCGAGGGAGGTTACAGCTTCCCCACTGAAGGGTCAATAAGTGCAGCCCTTTTTCTAAGCACTTGCTTCCATTCTACTTTAAATGATAAAGCACTTTAGTGCACTCCCGGTGAAATGTGGAAAGTTTTGTTCCTATTCTCCTTCAAATTTGCAGGGATTTCAGACAGCATATTAAAAAAAAAATTGAAGAACACTATTAGCTGTTGAATTGGTATTGCAAGTCATGAACAGCCCTCCTGAACTGTGTACAGAAGGTGGAAGGTGCCTAAGCTGTTTAATGAGGTGTAAGCCTTTGAAGAAGCAGCTGGAAGAACTTTGCAATGCACTCTGGAAGATGTGCACAAGTGTACCTTTTCACTTTGTGGGGAGGGAAGTGAGAGGGATTGCCTGCAGGGAAGAGGAGGAGACATTACATGCAGGGCTGCAGGTGTTGATTTCTTTGGAGGAAACACCTGGGCAATATTGTAACAGAGAAAACCTGCTTGAAAGAGTTGCTCAGGTGATGGGTTAACTCAAGGCTGCCTCCAGAAATTAATGAAGCAAGGAAAGATTCCAGGCTGAGCTGGTGCAAAGGATCCTGGGCTGATAAACACTGCCCTGTTACAGGAGAACCTGGCACAAGCTGCAGGAGCTGGAAAACTACTGCCATGCCAGCACTCTGAATCCTGAAGGCAGCTTTCCATACCTGAAACCCCTTCAGCTCCCAGCTGAGCAGGCATGGATGGGTGCCAGGTACTCTTGGATATCTCAGCCTTGGAGTGTCACTTCTGTTTTGCTTTAAGCTGACAGCAAGCAGGAGCTCTGTGCTCTGAGCAGCCTCAGGGGTTCCTCCTTCCTACAAGAACCCAAAATTTCTGCGTGCATGAGATCACCAAGTTCCTACACCAAGTTTCCCCTGGGAAAGGGGATGCAGCCATCCAAAAGGAAAGATCTTACTGAATTGCATCAAATATAATTTCTCTCTTGTTGTGAGAGCTCATGGGAAGTCAGGCAGGGTCCTGGAAACTTGAGGATTTCAGGACTGGTAAACCTGGAGAAGTAACTACCCTTGCGCTAAGCCTGTAAAATCCTGACAGAGCAGCATGGCCATTGCAGAGGTTGTTCAAAACTAACTGAGTGCAGCAAGGGGGAAGCTTCATGCACCACTTTGCCACATTTCATTTGATGTCAAATTGGTTGTTTAGTACTCCCCTGCAAGAGACTCCACCTCCTTTCAAAGTGCCCTTAAAACCTGTTGAGATTTTATCCCAGTGAGCTCCTGCCTCATGCTTAATAGTTGCACAGGGAAAGAACAGCAAACATCCTCAGTCCCAGTTCAGGGGGTTCAGACACCTGGTGCTTTAGAAAACTGCTGCCCTGACAAAGAATTTCTACTTGGACTGAAGTGTTTTTTGGCTTCTGTTTATTTTCTCTTGTCCCTAAAAGTAATCTAAAGGAAAACATCACTTGCCGCTGCCTGGAAAACATCTTCCTGTCCCTTTTTTTCCTTCCTTTTATAGAGGAAAAAGAAACTTGAAGAAGAGAGTTGTTCTTCAGTTTTTTTTCTCTTCAAGCATAGGTTAAAATGCCAGGGAAGAAGGAGGAGGCCCTTGGCATCGCTCATCTCCTGCTGGAACTGCATTGCATCACTTGGAAAACAGGAGGAGAGGACATGAGGCAGCTCATCCCGATGTCCTTTTAACAGCACTTGGTTAAATGCGTGGAAATTCATACACCAGCATCCACTGCAAGGAAACGAGCAGATGCCAGAAGATTTTCTTCTGCACTTGCAAGAAGTGAAAAGCCATGGGCGTGTTTCCCGTTTTTAACGCCAGCAACATTTCCCAGGCTGGCTCCCTGGAGGACAGCGGCAACTGGACAGGGGCAACCCAGTTCAGCCAGCCAGGCTGGAGGATTGCTCTGTGGGCCATCACCTACTCCTTCATCGTTGTCACATCCATCCTTGGCAACGCCACCATCATCTGGATTATTCTGGCTCACAGGAGGATGAGGACGGCGACCAATTACTTCATCGTGAACTTGGCCCTTTCGGACCTGCTGATGTCCGCTTTCAACACCATCTTCAATTTTATCTATGCCAGCCACAATGTCTGGTACTTTGGTGAGGAATTCTGCAGGTTTCAGAACTGGTTCCCCATCACTGCAGTGTTTGTGAGCATTTACTCCATGACAGCCGTGGCTGCAGAGAGGTAAGAGGTGAATGGAGAAGATGGGGTCCAAAAAGATCCCCTGTAAGTCTTGAAAAAAAATCATTGCAATAGTTTGGCCCCCACTCTGTCAGATGCCTTATCAGCAAAGTGTAAGGAGTGCCAGACTTTGGGGTTTGATGCTAATTATGGGGTGATCTGGTTTTTTATCCCTGGTCTGAATCACACCCGAATCTGTAACGAGTGGAAGTGGCTGGTATTTTTGTTGTTCCCACATTATTGATCATAAATTGTTTCCCAGTTATCCTGAAAACTCTCATGTGGCTTTGTTGGGTTTCTTTTTTTAAACCATGAGATGGATATATCCGGAAAAAGGAGAATATGCTGCAGGCTGCTGAAACTATCAGCAGCCCTAATCCTGCTGTGAGTCCAGCAAACCATCAGAAATAATGGGAATTAGATTAGGAATGGCAGAGTATGCTCCCCTGGTTCATTAGAATTGATTATTCCGAGATGGAGGGAAGTAATTACAGTGATACCATTTGACTTCTGGGGCAATTTGGTATTTTCATAAAATTCACTTCCAACTGCCAAATCACTTTTACTTAAGCCTTAATTTCTGAGTCTGACTGTGTTTACAGCTCATTGTTAAATAGCATGAAGCTGTTTCTCTTTTTTACTAGAAAGTGGCGAAAAGCCTGTGGGAGTTTCCCTCCCTTAAAGGCAATGCTGTGTGCAAGAGGCAGAGGAGGTTATTTTCCTTCCTTCCTTCCTTCCTTCCCAGGGTGAAGGATTTCTCTAGGGCAGCCTGACCCGGCAGAATACCAGCACACCTTTATAAAGGAATTAAATACCAGCACTCCTTTATAAAGGAGTGAAATACCAGCACTCCTTTATCAAACCCTGCTGCTGACTTTGCAGTTTCCTTCAGGTTCCTGTATCCACCGGGGCTCTTGCAGCTCCCTCTGGAGCCATCCAAAACGCTTTGCTGCCTGAGCCATCGGGGTCGCAGCTGGGATCAGCCCGGCACACCCAGCCTCAGGAAGCAATCACACACCAATCTCACCGGATAAACAGGCTGGGAGAGAGAAAAGGGCTTTTCTCAAGCGTAACGCCCGCTGAAACCTGTGCAGGAGCTGGGGACAGGGCTGAGGGATGTGTTTGTCAGTCTGCAGTTGTCCAGATGAAAGCAAATCCCTATTCAGAATCAATGGCAGCTGAGTTTTAAGACTCAAATACTCTTTTGCTGCTCTTGGCTGTAAATCAAGGCTTGTTGTTAGCTGCTATTTTATACATGTTGTCTGACAAAGAATATTTTTTAAAAGCTGTTTCAGCCTGTTGTCATTTCTTCCTACTCTTGTTCCTTAGGGATTTTTGGTGAAAGCACCTATATAGCCAAAATCTCTTTAGTTACATGGCACAGATCAGAAAGAGAACTTGGCACCTCGCTGCAAACCATATTTAGCTATTCTTTAGTTAGCCTTAAAATAGATCCTGACTGTCTCCTGGAAACTCGACGCTTCCATTTATTGTTAAGAGAACTTGTGTCCACTCCAGCTGCGGTGTTTAACTTCTATAAAAACATCTTCTGAAGTGGTTTATTTTAAGGAAGGAGGCTGAGAAGTGATGGCTCTAAGTCACTTTTGTCTGGCATGGAGAAGCCCCTGGTGATATTGCTCACTGCTGGGTCTAGGATCACTCCATCTCCCCATTCCCAGAGCAGCTGTTCCCACTGCAGCTCTGGAGGCAGAAATCAGCCTGATCGATCAGCTCAAGTTTCACTCTCTGCTTAGCAAAGTCTCCTGTGGCCTGCTTGGAAAGTGCACTAGAAGGTCCAAAATTCAGCTTGTTTTGTCTACATGCATGAGGAGCAGAGGAAGATTGTAGTCCCAGCATCCTGGGATGCCACAGGGGCATTGAGAGAGGGCACAAGGAGCACGAGCAGCAGGGGGGCAAAGGCCGTGCTGCCACACAATGAGAGGGGCCAGGAGATCTCAGCAGATTTGATAAATCTTCCAGCTTGCAGGAGCTCACCCAAAATCACAGCTTGCCTCAGGGGTGCACCCCTGGCAGTGTGGGAAAGGCTTCAGCCAGCCCTGTAACACCTTTGATGTCTGCAGCACGGGCTGCACTGACAGCACAGTGGCTGGCATCATTTATTCCCAGGACTTGCCCTTCACTGAGGGCCACAGTTCACCATTGCAGGCACTTCTGTGGGCAAACACTCTGGAGAATATCCACTAGGGAATTCCTCAATGAGCAGACTCGAGCACTGCCTATGGAAATCTGAAGAAAAGTGAGGTGACATGGAAATTTTATAGCTAAATAAGGCCCTGCTGTGCAGCCCTGGATTGCTCACTGTGCTGCCTGTCCTGCAGCAGCAGCTGGGCAGAGCTCCCTACCAACAGCCTGGCTAAGAGACAGCACAATTTGTCAGATTTTTTCTAAGAAAACCAGGAGGCAATGGGCATTTTCCACTCTATTTTGCCTTTGTTACAACTATGACAAAGCACAGGGACAGCCACGACAAGAAATGCATAATTATTGTGTACTTGTTACAACACCAAACATTTCCACACAGGGAACTTAAAACCAGAGAGCTCATGAGTAATCCAATAGTCAGATGTGCCTGAGGGCTCTGAGCAGGTGGGGATGAAAGGGTCAGCCCTTCCCTCCTCTGCAAGCACAAGTGGCAGAGACAGAGGCACAGACAGAGGCAGAGAGCAGGAGTTTTCCACAGCTAAAAATCAGTGGGGAAAAAATCAGGGTAAAGGGTACTCAAAAGCCCAGTCTGCTCTTGTGCTAATATGAAGCATCAGAAATGGACATAATTAGGAAGAAAAAGCATGCTTGGCTGGGCTTTTTTTGGTAAGGCACTGGCAAAAATAACTTCAATAAAAGAGCAAGAATGCTTTTCATAAGGGCCTGGAGTGGCGGGACGGGGGGAATGGCTTCACACTGATGGAGTGAAGGGTTGGATGGGATATTGGGAAGAAATTCTTCCCCTGTGAGGGAGGTGGGGCTCTGGCACAGGGTGTCTAGAGGAGTTGTGGCTGCCCCATCCCTGGAAGGGTCCAAGGCCAGGTTGGACAGGACTTGGAGCAGCCTGGGATAGTGGAAGGTGTCCTGCCCATGGCTGGAGATTGGAACTTGGTAATCTTTAAGGTGCCTTCCAACCCCAAACCATTCTGGGATTCTATGAAAGATTCCTTAAGGGGGATGCTTGCAAAGCCTGTATGCAGAGGATATAAAAGTCTGCTTCCTCCTCACACCAGAAGCATCCATCCACGTGGGTTTAATATATTCTGCCCTAAGACTTGCAATCATTCTCTCCAGAAAGGATTTATTTCCTTATTATTTACAGCCTGGAACCTGTCAAAATGTCTGTATTAATAGAGCCCACTCACTCCTGGTGAGGTTTTACACTTGCTGTGTTTGTTGTACAGATTGCCAATCTCCCTGTGAAAGCACTACGCCCGTTTCTTGCAGGTACGTGGCCATCATTCACCCCTTCAAGCCCCGGCTGTCTGCTGGGAGCACCAGAGTCATCATTGGGCTCATCTGGCTGGTGGCATTCGGGCTCGCCTTCCCGCAGTGCTTCTACGCCGAGATCACCGTGGACAACGGCACCCTGAAATGCATCGTGGTCTGGCCTGATGATGTTGGATCCAGGCACCAGCTGGCGTAAGAGACACGGCAAAGCTCCCAATTCAGGCTAAAGTTAGCCAGGAAAATAACTTCCAAACTGCTGGATATGGAGAGTGCTGGGGGAGAGAGCAGGAGGGTGGGGCTGGGGCAGCCCATCCAGATGTGGAAAAAGCTGCCAGGTGATCGTGGTTCAGGGCAATCCTGAACCTGCCCTCCTCCCCTGCTTTGAAAACTGGTTATAATATCCAGAAACCCTTCATACAGGGCTTGGGGAATTTAAGAGAAACCAGTGCAAAAAGTCTCTAAACAATCAGTAAATCCTAGTTTCAAAGATTCTGGATTTTATTCCTCCATCAGGAAGGAGGAAACTGGGTATCTTAAATGATGAGAAGCCACATAATTAATTAAAAATTATGCTGCCCTTTGTGGGGGTAAAAGGAAAATAAAACCTGAGAGCAGCATGTTTCAAACATCCTAAGGTTTTATAGACATATTTATCTGGGCACACATCTGCACTCCTGAAGGTTCCTGAGCCTCACAGCGATTTCCTCCTGCTTGAAAGCAAGATTGTTCAAACAGATGAAATAGGCCATACCCTGCATTCAGGGGATCTGCTGGGATTACTCATTAATCAAAGCACACCATGCACCTTTGAGAAATTAATCAAGCAAATCATATTTATACAAAGTAGCAATGGAAGAAATGAGGAAAAGGAACAAATCAATTAACAAAGTGCAAACAATTTTTCAAACCAAAGCCCGCTGCGAAGGCTCCATGCATGTGAGACATTTTCCCTGCTCAGTCTTCATCTCTGGCAGGCAGCTGGATGCCTCCTCAACTCAGCTATTACCAAACTAACTGATTTTCACACTAATGTGTGCCAAGTTCCATGACCTTTGTGTCACTTTGGGCAAGCTGCAGCATGTTCAGACAGTGGTTGCCAGTTGTTCCCAAGAGCAAAGAGTAAAATCAGGCTCAAGCCTCTCATGCTGGGTGAAGCTCCCTCCTGGGGGCTCCTTTTTGGTATCCTCTGGTACTTTTTGGGGAGCAGTGTGCCAGGCTCCTGTGGATAGAGGAGGAGGGAGAACAGATAGCCACTAATACCCGAGTCACTGGTGACTATTCCATTCAGATGAAGAGCATGAGGTTTATCTCTCCCACATCCATGGCACGGAAAGGATTCAGATGAGTTCCCCAGCATGCTGACAAAGCCCCTGTGGGCTGGAAAGGCTGGTCCTGAGTGTGGCAATAGCAGGGCAGGTCCTTTTTCTGGGATCTCCAGCTGGAGAGCAGCAGCCCCTGACCACAATCCATCACTCACCAGCTCTCTCTCCCTGAACAGCCTCAGACCTGCAGGTTTTGGTATCTCCCTTAGAAAGGAAGTGGGAGACATTGCTCCCCAGAAATCTTACTGAGTGATGGCTTTGTTGGGACAGATGCCTGCAGCACAGGCCATGGAGAAAAAGCCTTGTGCAGCCATTCATATACTAGTCCAAATAACAAGGAAAAGAAATATTAAGAAACCCAAAGAAAAACAACAACAAAAAAAGAGAGCTGGGTTCCTGTGTTGACTCTGTGTCCTCTGAATGCACTTTGTTAATTGATTTGTGTGTCCTCTGCGAGACTGCAACCCTCTGCTAAAAGATCAGTGATGTTACTGTGTCTTGAAGGAGCAGGGAATGCAGCCCCAGGACCCCTCATCACACCACCAGAGAGATGAGATTTTGCTGCTTATAGAAGTCCCTGTAACATTAAAAGCCATGTGTAGCCATTCATATACTAGTCCAAATAACAAGGAAAAGAAATACTAAGAAACCCAAAGAAAAACAACAAAAAAAATTGAGAGCTGGGCTCCTGTGTTGACTGTGTGTCCTCTGAATCCTTTGCAGTTGAATAAACCCATCTTTCAAGATTTCTAGACTTCAGAACATAGGAAAATCCTTTTCTGTAGGAAAGATGTGTATAATTATGACAGAAGGAAATAAAAAAATAAAAATCATAATAATTTTAAAAACCCCAAACAATGCACTACTGACTGCCAGTGCCTGAAAAATACTGGCTATAAAGGATACAGACATTTAACCAGAGTAAAGAAAACCACAGAGGATTTTTCTTCTGGTGACAGGTTAACTTTGCAGCAAAGTAGCAAAGATACAAGACTAAAAGTTTATTTTTACATGTGCTCAAACTTAGGCTCCCATCCTCCCTTGGATGGGAACCCTAAAAGGGCTTTGCTGCACTCCACACACAGCATCAGACCTACAAAAGAGGAACTGCTCTGAGCACAGTAGGAAAAAGTGGAAGACAGGCAGGGACAAATGTGCCACATCTCACAAATATAATATTTTTCTTTATGCAGCCACCAGTCTGGTATTTGCAGCCACCCCAAAGAACAAACACCACTGCAGGCCCCAGCACCCATTCAAGAGCAAAGCACTCATGTGAGGAATAACCCCAGAGCCTTGTCAGACTGAGAAAGACCATTTGCACCCCCCAGCATTTTGGGGACACTGCCAGCAGCGTGTGCCAGAGCCCTCCTGCCTAATCCTACTTTTCACTCTGTTTATGTTAATTTGACAGCTGCTGTAAGGGACTGAGCAGGTTGTTCCCTTCCCATAAATGGTGATTGCTCAAACTAATCAGCCCCCAGCATGAGGGACCAGCAGAAGTTTGTGGGGTGACATGGAAAGGTAGAAAGGGCTGAGGTTAAAATGCAGCTAAGGGGATGGATGCCAGTGCTTTCAGCTGGAGCAGTGACTGAGTGGCCTGTTGGTGGTACATTAACTGTGTGTGCTCACACAAACAAAAACAGCCAGCTACACAAATACAGGCAACATCCCTTCCTCACTGGCTGCATCTCTGTGCACCCTGTTAGCAGCCAGATGCCTTTCACAGTCCCTGATCTGGCTTTTTTCCGCTGTTGCCACTGCTGCATTCATCAAGTGACTCTATAATTTCTGGACTATTCCCTTCCCATACCTGTGATTTAAGGGCTTGTACTTTTACCACCCTCTCTCTCTCTCTCCCCTGGCTGTAGGGGGATAGCAAAGCTCAGTGCAGGCGGCCCTGGACTGCAACCCTCTGCTAAAAGATCAGTGATGTTACTGTGTCTTGAAAGAGCAGGGAATTCAGCCCAAGGACCCCTCATCACACCACAAGAGAGATGATATTTTGCTATTGACAGAAGTGCCTGTAACAAAAACTATAGGCAAAGTTTCTTTTTTGTGATTTCACTAATAGGAGCCAGCATACATATCCAAAAAACAGTTTGTGCAAGAGCTCTCCAAGAGCCACACTGACTGTGAAAAACTGCCTGTTCTTCTCTTTCAGGTACCACATTGCCGTGATCGTGTTGATTTATTTGCTGCCTTTAGTGGTGATGTTTGTTGCATACAGCATTATTGGAGTTACTCTGTGGAGCAGCACGGCTCCAGACAACCACCTGAACAGAGTCCACTACCAACACCAAGTTAATGCCAAAAAAAAGGTCAGAAGTGAAACTTGACCTTCATCGCCCCCAGCACACCAGCCCTGCTGGCTCCAGTTCCAAAATGGAGCTGGTGTTCCATACAAAATCTTGTGGGATTGGGTTTGAAAGGTTAACAAAATATTTCGGGTCTGGGGTAAAGGGCAGCAGCCTGCAAGTTTGAAAAAAATGGTGATTGTGTGCACCAGCCAGCCTTCAAGGAAGAAAGGCTCACAGCAGCAGGCTGGCTGCCAGCAGCCCTCAGACAGTGAAGAGAATCCACATAGAATAAACCAGGGTGAAACTCTGGACAGGGTGGAGCAGTCCCAGTGTGAGAGAAGCAATCTCCTTTCCCTGCACACCTCCCAGGTGCAGCTACAAGCAGCTCCTCTGCAGAGGAACTCGGTGCTCTGGGAAAGGTTTGCTTTTACCCCCACCCTGTTCCCATCACCAGGGCACTCCCTCCCTGTCCCAGTTTCCACGGCCAGGGCACTCCCTCTCTGTTCCCAGTTTTCATCACCAGGGTTGGTTTCTTTGCCACAGCAGTCCAGGTCTACATTCCATACTCTGCACTTTGAGAGGGCAAACCAGGCTCAAAGTGACACCAGCACTTCCCACTGCCCCCAACAAGCCCAATCCCCCAGAGCCCAGGAATAACCCCTTGGTTTTGGTTTCCCAGTTTGTGAAGACAATGGTGGTGGTGGTGATCATTTTTGCTGTCTGCTGGCTGCCCTATCACATATACTTCATCCTGGGGAGCTTCAAGGAAGACATCTACCAGCAGAAGTACATTCAGCAGGTGTATCTCGCAGTGTTCCTCCTTGCCATGAGCTCGACAATGTACAACCCCATCATCTACTGCTGCCTGAACCAGAGGTGAGGCAGTGTGAGCACGTGTGCACAGAGAAAACTAAAATCTCAGCCTGAAAACAGCACAGATCTTTGGCTGTGAGAACAGCTATGATTTTCAACTGCAGTCCTTAGGCCAACGAGACAACTTAACTTACCCTGTGCTGCTAATGGGTGCCCTCTGAGCCGTTAACCCAGCCCGCAGCATTTTCTGTCTCTGAATAAAGCACAGGCAGCAGGCACAGGAGCAGCACACCCATTTCCACATGCAGACCATCCTGTTCCCAAGGGAGGGCTCTGCAATCCCTGCACTGCATCTGCTGAGCCGATGCTGGGCTGGCTCAGCCTCCTGCTCTCCCCAGGGCACCCCCAGCACAGCCCTGGGCTCAGCCCCAGGGTGGGAGGCTGGAGCAGCCCAGGGGTGCCTGTGAAGGTGCCATCGGGACGTGTCACAGCGAGGAGCACATCCCCATGGTGCCAAGAGATGTCCCTCTTGCTCTGCGTGATGCAGAGCGCAGGGAGCTGCTCCGGCTGCCCGCGGAGCTCCGTGCCAAATCCCGCACCCAAAACCTCCCCAGCCCTCCCTCCTCAGGCTCGCTGCGAGCTTCAAAGGTAACAAATGGTTATCAGCACACTGGACTGCAGCAGCCCGGTGTTCAACTCCAGAGCGATGCTGCGAGACTTGCTTGTCAAACACCGCCCTGCAGTGAGCTGGCAAAAGAAGATTTTTGCAGCCCATTCACCCAAACTGTATTTAACATGAAGCACACAAACATGTCCTCCCCCTCCCTTCTCAGAAAGCAGACAGCTTCCTCATTTAGTTATCATAGGATTTTGGTGTTGGTTTTTGTTTTTTTGGGTTTTTTTTAAAGCTCTCAGTGAGTAAATGCATATATTTTCCTCAGATTTTCTGTGTCTCACAAATGCAGTTACCAGCACGGCCAGCACCATCTACTGAGCACATCAAAACTCCCTGCCATTTCACTGATCTTATGTTTACTTAAAATACTTAAATCAGGAAATCTGATCAGAAACCCCTGGTGCACCTCCCTCCATGCTTTCATGCATTTAGCTTTTCACCTCATTCCTTTGATTTCAGCAGGAATATTCATTTCCATAGTCACTCACAGATAGAACCAAGTAATGAGTTTGTTCATTCCCTGCGCAATTAGAAAGATCATTTCACCATCTAATTGCTTTTGTCACTTTCACAGGTTTCGCTCTGGATTCAAGCTAGCCTTCCGGTGGTGTCCCTGCATAAAAGCCACAGAAAAAGACAAACTGAAACTTATGTCCCCATCCCTCTACCAGACAACCCACAGGAAGTCAAGAACAACCAGTTTCAACACAGAAACTCAGCTGAATGAGAAAGAGAAGACATCATTCACCCTCACCCAATTAACACTTTGATTTCCTGGTTCTGGCTCCATGCCAAGGCAGCAGATCTGAAGAAGCCTGAAAAACAGGACTTTGCCTCTGGAGCAACTGTTTCCTACAGGACTTCTTTAGATGCCATCAGCATTGAAGGCAGTGTGTTGATAACACTTCTATCCATGTAGGTCCAAGCTACAGATACAAGTTTAGCCCTCTCTTGCATCAAGAACTGCAATACAGAACAGACATCAGGCCAGGAGGTCAAAAAATCAGCAAAGCAGATCTGAGGCAGTGCCAATCAGGAGAATACAAATTATTCCCTTCTACATTGTGATCTCCTGAGTTCTGTTCCACCAAGACACTTGAATTCAGGAAAGAGGCGATGGAGCAGAAAGGCTGGGGCTCGTGTGGTCCAGCTGGGATGGACCCAGGGCTGTGTGGGCAGCCAAGTCCCAGGGCTCAGCAGCCCCAAGGCACTGTGGACCAAAGCCTGCTTACAACAAAGGTAAATAGTAACACATCCAGACTGAAAAATCCAGCCTGCCCTCAAAATTTTCTGCATTCTGGGATTTTTATGCCTGCAATTTCCCCAGCAGAAACAGTTCCTTTAGGTGTTGGCATTGCACGGATTTCTATAACCTTGTCCCAAAATATGATGTTGGTTTCCTATTAAACCACGCTCAAGTGATTTCTCCTTCACATTAATTGTGGTGCCTAATTTGGAGAGCAAGGCTCTCAGAAGAGTCAGTAGCCAGGGATGGCCACTGGCTTGGTCAGGGCTCATGGATCCAGTCAGAATCCACTTTCTTTACATCCTTTTTGTCCTAACAGCCATGGTCCATTGCTGGCTTTTCCAGAGAGACCCTTCACCTTCCCTTTCCAGACTTACCCCATATTTATCCTCACTGCTCTTCCCAGATATGAAAATAAAAGCTGGAATATGTCATCTTCCCAGCCTGAGACATTATGTGCAGGCACACAAACCAAGAGAAGCTGAAATATAAACATTATGCAAAAGTAATACAGCATTTAATAATGGTGTGATAAGTTAGCACCTTCACCTCTCATGACAGGTTTGTAAATAGTATCACCTTATCAATTAAAAAGTTCCTGTGATGTTGACAAGATCCAGTTATTCGAAATATTCTCCTTTGCTCTGCGAAAGCCAAACTACAAAGTGCTGCCAGGCTTTAACTCTGCAGTAAATCCAGAGAAAATGTTCATGGCTTGAACTGAAAGAGTACTCAGGGACAGGATTTTGCCAAGCCTGTTCCAATACAGGAAGGAGATATATGTTCTTCACTTCTCCACCTCCCTGGCTCTGTGGAGAACAATTATCTCAACAAACTCGTCCCACTATTGGCACAAGAGAGCCCAGGCCCCTCTGCAAAAGTTCACCATTTTAAATCATTCCAGCAGACAATTTCTAGTCCAGATGTCACCTGCCAGCCCTCTCCCCAGGCCAGCCTGCTGGGCATTTACAGACAGCCACCACCAAGTCACTCTGCCACAGGGATGGAAAACCCTTTGGGAGGGATGCTCTGCCAGGCACACATCACTGGGACCAGGCAGAGACTCCTGCTCTGAGGAACTGAAGGACACCTACCCACAGAGCTCAGTGTTTGATATACATGAGCTGCACTCCCCTTGCCCAGCTGCTGTGAGTCTAAGGCCTTTAAACTCTGCAGCTTTCTGATGCAGAGCTTTTTACAATAAACAGGCCTATCTTGAGCATCCCACCTTCTTCCTCCCTCTTCCATCACACCTGAACATCCAGCCAGAGTCTATTCCAGATGCCCCAGAGTGCTGCCAGTGCTGTCCCTGGCTGGCACTGATGTTTTCTGACAGTTCAAGGTATCTCTTTCTCTTGCTGGGAGCAGAAAGCAGAGGATGATTTCTTGACGTTGCAAAAGGAATTCTCTGTGCCCTGCTGGACTCAAGGTGCAGATCCTGAGGTTTTATCCCATAGAAACAGCAACAGTTAAGGAAGCAGAGATGCCCCGAGCCCTTGTTACACAGCAGGCTATGTTATTCCTGTGATACATGAGGCAACAGGAACACCATGCCCCATGGTAAGTACATGCAATTCTCCATTAATAAATATAGACAGGATTAAATACCACACAGCAGTAAAGACATCCAGGTCAGCAATAAATCCCTCTCCTGCATGTTCACTTGTGCTCTAAGTAGCAAAACAGTCCCTGCAGTCAGTAAAGAAAAACACTTCAAGAAAATAATTTTTATGGCAAAGGAATGAACAAAAAGCACAGAACGGGGTTCAAAAGTTCAGAAACACTTTATTTTGCCTTCTGCTATTTTCTTAAGAAAACAAAACAAAACAAGGTCTGCTTGTTTTAAAACCCATTCAAAAGGCTTCTGAGAGAACCCCAGAGGAGTAAGGAGCAGATGACATTACAACAGTGGTATGCAAATGGTCTTTTCCCCAGGAAATATAAGATTTTTGTGTTCATATTGCAGTAATTACAGCTTAACAGTTAAGAGGACTGTGATTTTATTCACCAAGCCTAAAAGCTTTAAGAAAGACATCTCAGTCATTGCTTGGGTAACATTGGAGACATTTCTTCAGACAGTTATAGCTTGTGATTCACTTGGAACAGTTTCCTAGGGGTAAGAAGTAGTCTGGAAATGGAAATCCCACCATGTCTCCCTTTGGAAAAGAACTGCCGTGTCTTACCGAGTACATCAACTATGGTCCATGGTAGGAAAAGTTAGAAACACAAACTCACTCCCTATTTGTTATGAGCTGGATCCAATAAACAAAACGACCTATGCCAGCATCTCCAAAATCCACAGTCACCCTGAGACCAAGTTTAACTTCCACTTCTCCTTCACCCTCTATCCTGCACTGAGCCTGGTCCTCAGGTGCCAAAGAGCTCCAAACCCAGGTCCCCAGGCACGGCTCACACCACCCCTACAGCACTGCTGATGGCAGGCACAAGATTTGCAAACCTTCAAGCAATTCAAATGCAACGTGTCCCCTGTGCCCAAAAAAGTTTCTCACCTTCTTCTGTCTCCTGTTTGGGGTCATAGCTGCACATCAAGGCTGTCAGAGACTATTCAAGCTGTAACGTAAAACGCGTTATTGGAGAAGCACAGCTTTGGTGTACACAAAAAGGGGCTTCCATCTACCACAGCTCCAACACAGGCTGTGCCAGCCAGTGCTGCAGGAGCACCTGACACCGGGGCTGAGCCGACGTTAACCCTACACACACAGGGAGCTTAGACACACATGTCCATCACCAGCCTAATGAAACCACACCGCCCTCGGTGCAGCACCCCGAGGTCCTCCTGCACCACAGATCCCCCTGCACAAGACAGGGCACGAGGGGCACTTGGACAAGCCACATGGCCCCCAAGATTTGGGCACTGTCAGCGCTGTGCCTCTGCTGAACTACGTTAGGAAACACGAGGCACGGGGACCTGTGTGAATCTGACCCCGAATGCCCGGGAATAAAAACACACACACAAAACACAGGCACCACTGGGATTAGGTTGCAGCTCTCCCTACACAATAGCTCTTCCCAAAGCACTAAGCCACCAGCCAACAGCACCTCTTCCAGAAAGAACCACTAAACACCAGTTAACGCACATCAAAAAAGTTTAATATTTTCACAAGTATCACGTAACACTAGTACCAGAGCTACTAGTGTGCAAAGTAAAAAGACCCTCTACCTTTGCAAAACCAGTTAGGCATGCAATTTTTCAGGT